TGGTTTTCCGCGATTTGTTCGCGTGCGCGTTCGATCCTGTTGTCCGACGGCGAGCGAGTCGCCATCGGTAACATGTCGTTATCACCGAGCGCAACTGCATTTTCGCCCGGCGGTCAAACTTGTTCGCAAGGAACGGCAACACTTGCTCTTGCCTGTGTCGCCTGCTCTTGCTCACATGATAATTCGGCCGTCAAAGGTGCTGCAGCTGCCGCGAATTCATCGCCCAGGTTCGCGTTCCGCGCACTGCTTACCGTTGTTTCTTGCTGTTCGTCATACAGCTTTTCCGGGATTCGGCTTGACGCAAAATCGCTCGAGCGCAACGATGGCTGCAAATCTGGCCGCTCTCTTAACAGCATATATCGAAAATACCGGGTTTGTAATTCTTCGAGATCACCGTGTAGACTAAGCTCGCGATAGCGCATTAATTCCAACAGAACGGCCGGTTCTGTGGAATCAATTTTGCGTTTTAATTTTTTCGCATGCGCATCGCGTAATATTCTACGCATGACTATTTTATCTCTACACGCTAGCGACATTGTTATTTCTAAAAGTGAAAATCCGTAACTTGACTACGACGCGAGCCTATGGGGCTAAGCAAGTCTCGACCGGTCCGTGTAACCTGATACCTTACTAGCTAATTTCTTTCCAAGCTATAAGCCGGCAAGAAATCGCCTTGCTTACGCCTATAGAAAGAAATTATAATTTATCAAAATTTACTTACCGTAATTTTGAATAGGCAGTTTAGTAAAATTCTTAAAACAAAGAAAAACTAAAGCGAGGAAAGAACGCAGTCGTCTAGCGTCAAAGCGACTCAATGACGCACCGTTGTCATCCGACACCGCTATTAAGAAAGGTCACTGGCAAGCACTAACAAGAATTCAAAATACCGAAAACTCGAAATTCTTTTACGCGCACTCTTTTGCCCTTAGTTCACAAAGAAAATCATTTAACCGTTATTTCCAAAATTTATTATCAAACCATTTCTCTCATTTATCTCCCAATTGTCAGACTCACAAGGGATGCCATGTAACAAAACTTAATCCTTTGTTACCAATTCTTTTGCGGGGTAAGTGAGGCACTTTTGCTCATGACAATTGAGAGAGAAGAATGAGGGGAGGTTGATAAATAAATTATGCACAGACAAGAATCAAATCTCATTTACAACCTACTATTATTATTAATTATCACACAGAACATACGCGCGCATAATATTATCTAAATTACCGACTAACAAACTGCAAATAGAACAATAAACTACTTAAGATAATCACAAATGAACATTTCGCATTTTATCCTAATACCAAATCGCATACTTAACCTACTACAAACTTACTTAAAAACTACGCGGACTAATACCGGGTAAATTGCCCAGCACGTGGGCGCCTGGACAATTCACCGGTCGCAACTTACGTCACTACAAATTAATCTTAGCGCGAACCTTCAGATAGCCGGCACGTGAGTGCCAGGCTATCTCTTTCACCGCGCACCGGTCGTCGCATCAACAGAGAGAGAGAGTGTAGAGAGAAAGAAGAAAAGGAAGGCTTGACCTTTGTTCTCCTGTTCCTCGCAACGTCGAGAATCCTGGGCGATGTGCTGCCGCAGGACGTACCGGGCGTCGTCGCTGGTCAGATCGTCGCTAACCGCTGTCGCTGACCAGGTCTCCGTCGGCGACGTTGACTCTCTTGGCAGGTGGGCTGGCTGCTGTTGCTGGCAAGGCCGTTGCCGGTAGGGTTGATCGTGCTTCCTTCCGGCTATCCCAAACTGCTCTCTCTGTTGGGCTCGGATTTCCGCACTGTAGTAGGACTAGGCTTCTACTCCCTCACTCTAGTAAGGCTCGGCTGCGACTCTCTCACGCACTAATTCTTGCGCGCATCTTGCAGTCGCTCTGCGGCGCTCGCTCCTCTCCCTACCTTGACCTATTAGTTAGGCGGCACGCGACGCGTCGCTTATCGGTCACGCGTTGCGCGCCTGCCAATCCCTGCATAGGCCTAATACTCTCTCTCTCTCTCTCTCTCTCTCTCTCTCTCTCTCTCTCTCTCTCTCTCTCTCTCTCTCTTTCTCTCACTCTCTCTCCGCGCTCTTCAACTTTTCTTGCGCTCAACTGCGCTGGCTCGTCCTTGGCGCTGAAACAAAAGACCAAGTGTTAGGCGCATACTTAAATGCGCCCAACGTTGGCCACCACGCTTAGCCGAGTGGGGGAGGGAGAAACGCGGACGAGAGACGGGCAAACGGCCTGCTCTCGTCACAAAGTTCAAATTGAAGGTTATAAAAATACGTGATTAAATACGCTATTAAAACGAACCACTTTGTATTTTCCCTTAAAAGTAAAATCTTGAAATTTAATAGACCAATAATGTATAGTTTTTAATAGTTATTTTTCATCCCATTTGGTTTTAAATTTCATCTGATTCTAATCCGCAGTAGCTACATGGAATTTATTCTACAGGGTGTCTCATTTTAAAGGAACCACCCCGAAATTTTCGACGGTTGGCGTTATACAAAAAAATTCTTCAGACAACAGTTGTTTGGGACAATGGGGGCAACCTTTCTGTGAAATCCGATTTGACCTTGAGATTTATTTTCAAGGTCATTTGAAGGTCGAAGTCATTTTATAAGTAGGAACCTATATGTTTGATCACGGTTTCGGAAAGAGCGGAAAATTCTACGTTCAGATAACGTATTATGTGTGGGTTAACCCCCCCCCCCCTTCGCCTAAGGTCATGTAGGGGTCAAATTTATGATTTTCTTCATCTATGCAGAGAGATGATCGGGCAAGAGTAAGGTTAATTGTAATAACCCAATAACTCGATAACCCAAATAACCAAATAATCAAATAACCCGATAACCCCAATATATCCTAAAAAAATTGTAGGGTCAAACAACAGTGACCTTGAGCTTAAATTTCAGGTTGATTTTCAAAGTCGACTTCATGTATTCAAAGCCTTTATGAGAAGTGTCATTTTCCATTTTGTGGGATAACATGGTATTTTCATTCTTTTTTCTGGTGTGATTCCGGACAAGCCTACAAAGTTTCTACTAAATTGTTTAATAACACTTTTTTAATATTGTTTATGACAATAGTGATTCGCGAACAGTCCTTCTCAGGATAGTTCAAGTGTAATTTTCTTAGTCGACTTAAAAGGAGGGAATATGCCAGATTATTCGAGAAACGAAATTGTTGATATTCTGTTGTCTCTCGGGGCATGTCAAGGCCGATAATGTGCTCCGGCAAGGTATTACCGCCAAAATTACCCAGGGAGTCTTAACTACCCGAACTACGTGAGAATCCGAATCATCGAGCAAAGAGAGAGACGTCGACCCCGAATACGCAGAAATCGTCGTCGCATTATGATGCCCAACAACGATGATCCACAAATTCTCGTCGTTTTAGCAATGGTTGATTTGGATCATCATCTCTCGTTGCGTGAAATTCAGAGACGTACTGAAATCCCAAGATCAACAGCCGCTAGATTTTTGCGGCTTTACAGATTTCATCCGTATCATATAACTTTGACTCAAGCTTTGATGCCAGATGATCTCCGCCGCAGACTCGAATTCTGCAATTGGGCACAAGCAAGGATTCGTGAAGATCCTGAATTTTTCAGATACGTCATGTTTTCGGACGAAGCTACATTTCATGGTAATGGGTAACTCAATCACCATAATAGTCATTATTGGTCTATACAGAACCCTCATTGGGTACGACATGTTGACAATCAGCATAGATGGAGCCTCATAGTTTGGTGCGGTATAATAAATGGTTATCTGATAGGACCTTATTTTTTCGATGGGAATGTCAACGGCGCAGCATATCTTGATTTCCTGCAGAATGAATTACCAGAATTATTGGAAGATGTGGACTTGGAAACCAGAAGACGATTATGGCTTCAACAGGATGGTGCACCGTATCATCGCTCACTAATGGTTCGTCACTTCTTGAACCAACGATACCGAACACGATGCATAGGCTTTGGTAATGACATTATTGAGTGGTGTCCAAGATCACCAGATTTGACAAGTCCAGATTTCTTTTTATGGGGATATTTGAAAAATGTCGTTTATGCACAGCAACCAACAACACGGCAATATATGATGCAACGCATCATACAAGCTTGCAAAGCTATTCCGCGTCACGTTTTGATGTCCACAGTTGAAAATTTTGAACGTAGAATTCAACACTGCATAAATTTGAACGGGGGTATTTTTGAACATCTTATGAGATGAATGTTTGTGTTACAATCTTGACCATAACTCTATCTGTAGTCAACGTCTTGTCTTGATTGGCTGAGCATTCCCACCTTGCCTTCATTGGCAGGGTAATCAATACCTTACCTTCATTGGCTGGGTAATCAATACCTTATTAACTTCACCCTTGCCCTGGTGGGATGGGGGGGGGGGTGAACCGCTCCTCCAACATAATACTTTATCTAAACGTAGAATTTCCCGCTCTTTTCGAATCCGGGATAACAAATGGGGGTCCTTATTCAAAATATCTCTTGGTTATTGGGTTATTGGGGTGATATTGGGGTTAGCGAGTTATTGGGTATTGGAGTTATTCGGTTATTACAATTAACCTTACCCTTGCCCGATCATCCCTGTGCATAGATGAAGAAAATCATAAATTTGACCCCTACGTGACCTTAGGCGGGGGGGGGGGGGTTAACCACACCCCACATATAATACGTTATCTGAATGTTGAATTTTCCGCTCTTTCCGAATCCGGGATCAAAAATATAGGTTCCTATTCTAAAAACGACTTTGACCTTCAAATGACCTTGAAAATAAATCTCAAGGTCAAATCGGATTTGCCCCCATTGTACCAAACAACTATTGTCTGAACATTTTTTTTGTACAACGCCAACCGTCGAAAATTTCGGGGTGGTTCCTTTAAAATGGGACACCCTGTATAATACTTATGTTTTCTCTTGTACCTGTGCAAATTGTTACCCGCGGTACTCTATTAACTTATTTGAATAAATTACGATTTATTAATGTTTCAGGTTGAAAATGTCGTTTTAGAAATACCAATGCCAAAAGCCGTTTTAAATTGTAATGTCATCTCAAATCAAGGAAGATACTCATTTGATCCTGTTAACAAAATTCTACGATGGGACATTGGAAGAATAGATATAGCAAAACTTCCTAATTTGAGAGGAACTGTGAGTATTAATAAAGATTCATGTGTTAAAACAAATAACCTGATTAGCAATCAATAAAACTTGATTAGTAAAACATATTTAGTTTAGTAGAAAGACTTCGATAGATATTGGCATCGTTTGAAATGTATTTCTTAACTATGTCAGTAATGCATGGTTTCAGTTATATATTTTTGTCGATATGAAAGCAAACTATCAATCAATCGTTATTGTTTATACGTGCCTATATATCCGGTTTACGAATGCAATAACCCTAAAATAAAACCCTCAAACTCTGTTTTCTTTTCATTTTTCGAAAATTTTGAAAATATTTTGATGAATCAAAGTGGACGTCTTTTTTCTACAAAAGACAAATATTCATACAATACTTGTAATCTGATGGGTAGAAACTATTTATTTTTTATACAAAGAAAACAAAATTCGTTTCCATTTTTTCCATCTACATTTACAAAACTAAGTAAATCTGACTAAAATTAACTATATTATAAATAAAATTGAATAATAAACTGAACATGTCCCAGGAATTAATGACAATAATTTTTTAAACTGATATTTTTCGTTTTTATTCTAGATAGTCGAAATCATAATCTAATAAATAAACTACCGTGAAGGAAAAATTTAGCCCCTTAAAGGAAAAAGAGTTACTTATTAAAGTAATATTTAATTTTCCTTCATTATAAAAATAAAAGTTTCTTCGCTAACTGTTACTGATTAATTCAACACGTCATTCGCCTGATAATTTAAATACAGTTCCTATGAATAAAACTGTTCAACAGGGGTAAACTATCCCTAATATGAATATTATGCTGTTTCAATATTATACATGTATGTATTAACCGATTTTTAAAAATTTTTTATTTTGCTCACTCGAAATTAATCAAAATTTAATAAAGTCCCTTCCGTGAAGGAACTATTCACTCCCTAAAAGTGAACGAAGGCTATTATTACTTTTGAGCACTGAAAAAATAACATTTTCTTTCCTAACCTTTACTAATTATTTTAAAGTGTAAATCTTCAGATATATTAATAACATATATACTGCAATATTTTGACTTTGCATAGAAATAACCATCTTTATCGTAATATAAGATATTAGATTTGAAAGCTAAGAGAAAGTAAACCTCTTATGCTGAAATAAAAGTTGAAGTAAACTAAGTAAACTAAGTAACCATCGTTTTTATTTCCATAAAAATATTAAACGATTTGCTTTAAACATTTCGAGTGAAATGTACGTTTAATTTCCAAGAACAGATTATTAAATAGAAATATTAATAAGTAAACAGTTCATATCTGATTTCTATTTTAATATATTGTAATTATATTGAGTAAGATTGTAATGTATACAAATGATGGTATTTTTTTCATTCGTTGGTATACATTGGCAAAACTATACTTCTTTTATAATTATGATAATGATAATTTACAAAAAATGTTTTAAACATAAAGATTTTTTATACCAAAAACATATCACGACTGCTGTATTATAACAGTTTTTAACTTTGCAATGAGCATTATAGTTATTTCCAAATCCAATCTCTACTAGATTATTAAATTTATATTACTTTGTATCAACGTAACCACTTTTGTACCACACATATTTAAATAAGTTTACATAATACGGTGATTTTATTTTATTGTGTACTAAAGGTTGAAGTTTTATTATGTTATTTCTAAAATGTAAATCTAAATCTTCATTCACCAGTATTACACTGTCGCTAAAATGTCGTAAGTAATTTTCCCAAATTCTAAAACCGTACATATTCAATGGTTGAATTTTTCCAGTTGTACCTTTGGAATAAAATTTAACATAGATATTTTTCTATGGAGGGATTGCTTTTTTTACTGCATTAGAACAGTCTGCACTCAAAGAGTCAATTAGTAAAATATTTGATTGACCAACATTAGGAAAATACATGTCCTTCAATCATATCTTAAAATACTCTATAAACATTACAAATAATTTTTGTATTTTGATATAAAATATTATAATAATAAGTTGAATATACGAGGTGTGATCAAAAAGTAAGGTGAATTTTTATTTTTCTCAAAAAATATTTATTTATTCATCAATTTTTATTTTATCTCCTTCAAAGTAACCCCCCTCGGATATAATGCACTTGTGCCAACGCTTTTTCCAATCCTCAAAGCATTTCAAAAAATCATTTTTTGTGATCTTGTTTAGTTCATCCTTCGATGCCGTCTTTATCTCCTCAATCGTGGCAAAACGCCGTCCTTTCATGGGCCTCTTCAGTTTTGGGAACAAGAAGAAGTCACAGGGGGCCATATCTGGAGAATACGGTGCCTGTGGCATCGTTACTGTGCTGGTTTTAGCCAAAAATTCGCGCACAAGCAACGATGTGTGAGCAGGGGCGTTATCATGGTGCAAAAGCCAATTTTGATTTTTCCACAAATTCGGACGTTTCTGGCGGATTGCTTCGCGCAAATTGCGCATAACTTGCAGGTAATATTCCTTATTTACTGTTCTACCCTGTGGCAAGAACTCATGATGCACCACGCCCCTGCAGTCAAAGAAAACTGTAAGCAAAACCTTTACATTTGATCGAACTTGGCGTGCTTTTTTTGGTCTTGGTGATCCAGAATGCCTCCACTGGGACGATTGAGTCTTAGTCTCGACGTCATAACCGTATACCCATGTTTCGTCACCTGTTATAACCCTGTTGAGTAAATCTGGATCATCGTTGACGTCATTCAGTAGCTCTTGGGCGATGCTCATGCGACGTTTCTTTTGGTCGAAATTGAGCAATTTCGGAACAAACTTCGCTGACACACGTCTCATGTCTAAAACACTCGTCAAAATTGATTGGTACGAACCAAATGAGATGCCAATATCATCAGCAATTTCTCTAATGGTAATTCGACGATTTCCCAACACTATTTGATTCCATTTTGCACACAAAATTTAATGCAAACTCTTTTATCCATGTTTTTAGACAGCAGCAAATCGTGTAGCACGCAAAACACTTCGAACCTTGATGTCTCTCACAAACAAACCAAACATACTACAAAGCTGAAATTTGGAACGTATGTTCTAGACGAGTGTACCGACATAACCAAATAAAAAAGTCGAAGATCGAACGGACGTAGCCCGCTAAATTTCAAAATTCACCTTACTTTTTGATCACACCTCGTACCTTAAGTTAATTTGTCAAATTGAGAAGCCATTGCGTAACAATTTGGTCTTTTAAATAATGTACTTTCAACAATTGATCCAAATTGTACTTTCATTTCTTTCAGTACAATTAACAAAGGACAAAGTACTCGTAGTTTTCAGTTACCTGAAATTAAGGGTGTAACGGAGAATCTCAGCTAGACCGATTTCGTCCGTTTGACTCTCGCAAATGTCCGTGCGCCGCGCCAAGCTGAGAGTGTGTGCTTTGGTACACACACTCATGCTTGGATCTTTTGTTTACGACGTGCTGAACACGGGCTGAGCTGACGACTGGAGCGATAAAGATGGCGCAGAAGAAGAGAAAGAAAGGAGTGAGAGAGAGAGCGCTCGAATTGCGGATCCCCGCGGAAAATTCGGGGAGTCTCTACTAAGCTATGAGCTGAGGAAGTCGCGCGCGCGGATAAAACCGAAAGGTCACGGTTTTCCAAAGTTGGCTCCGCGACCTCGCCGACGTTTTATTCGTTTTCGGAGACACGCCCGGTGCACGGACGAGTGATAGAGCGTGAGGCTGGGTCGCGCCCAGTCGTGTCCCGAAGGATACCCGGCACCGGTGCGTATGGGTAACCGGTGAGGTGCGCGAGTGCGCGCGCGAAGAATTTGACGTGCTACAGCATCGAGCAAAAGAGAGGCGGCGGTGTCAATAACAACAACAATTAACGAGCGAGATACAGATTGAGGCAGCAATATTGTGGAGCAAGAAAGAGGAGGAGCGAGAAGACAAATAGCGAAGACAAGAAGCATCAGCGAGATGGTCAGCGGGGAACACACCAGTGACGATACACTGAGGAGCGCTCTAGCCGTCGGAGAGGCTGAAAGTCGAGGTCGGTGCCGTGTTTTTCTCTTGATTCTCTCTCTCTTGCATGTTTGGGCGCCAGCTTATGGGTGATAGCACGGCAGACCTGCTGGCTACCCGTTCATAGTTTAACGGCGGAAAGTGTTTGTCGGGCATTTATTGTAATATTCAGTTTTAACAAGGGAATCGGCAGGCTGACCAGCCACCGATTCACTTTCGCGTTCGCGTTTGTTATTGTGCCGCTCGTAGTGTATAAATACGAGGTCGCCGTATTGTAATCGATTGTTGACAAGTAAAAGACTAGTGTGTTAATCCGCTGTTGTGTTTATTCGCTACTGTATCACTCCTCATCCTGATTTCCAATTTGTGCGTTTAACGTGTTTATGCTCGACGCGTTATTCAGTCGTGGGAACGTCATTTGCTTCCCGAATTCCCGAATAAATAATTTGTGCGGACGGCCGCGAGCAACCCAGACGGAAAAGGCCGAAATCCACCGTTACAAGGGCTGAACAATGTAACTATAAGTTTTAGAACTCACAGATTCTAAAAGACATTCAATTTGTCTTTCTCTTTCAACTGTTAGTGTTCTTCCAGAATGCATTTCAATTTGCAATCCATTTTAATCGGAATAGAAAACATTTTCAATTTTTTTTTACTTCGTAAAAAAAATCGTCACCTACCAGTTGTAAATATATCGATTTCTCTGAAGTTTTCTTGGTCACAAATTGCTTTATTTTTCTACTGACTATTCTATAAGCTTTCTTAAAATGTAACCAATGATTGAAAGCTTCAAGCCTTATATCTTCGTTTCTAATAATCTTTTGGGTCGGTAAAGCTCATTTTTGTAAATCTCGTTCATAAACTCTATGTTTAGTATCAACAACTGAATGAAAATTATTAAATACATATTTCGAAATTCTTTCTATTTTTTTTTTCTTATACGTGCCTCCTTTATTTAAAGAATTTTCCCATCATTTTAAATGTATGATTGACTAAACTATTTGGAAACTATATTATACA